CTGCACCACTGGCATGCTGCGATTAGGATTGCCAGTGGAAACTGAGGCTCAGGTTGGCACAGGGTTGGCCCATGGTCACAGACATTGTGCATGCCAGAGCCAGGGCACTAGCCCAGTGTGTCTCAGCCAGGGCCCTGTTCCTCCTGGCTTTGGAGGCTGCTCCCTGTCCCAGGTGAGGAGCAAGCATCTTGGCCACCAGGAGGTGGTGCTGCATGCTCTCACAGTGTGCAGCATGTGGATTGGGAAACCGGGAAATCCCAAAACCCAAGCTGGAAGGAGGCCCAGAGGGAGGGAAGAGGAGGCTCAGGCTCCCAGGATGGTGGGTGGCCAGGCTGGATGTGTCATCCACCAGAGGGAGGGAAGAGGAGGCTCAGGCTCCCAGGATGGTGGGTGGCCAGGCTGGATGTGTCCCATGACCTGAGTTTTCTGGGTCTGGGGAGAGGCCAGTGCTTCAGCAGGAGCAATAGTGTTGGGACCAACCCAGGCTGCCCTAGTACTGTGAGAAGGGAGCAAGAGAAGGCTGGAGGCTGTGCTGTGGGACTGGACACCCCCTTGGCCACCCTCTCAGGCCAGGAGGCCAGCAGCAAACCTGCCCAATGGGCCCTGCAGTCCAGCTGAGAGCTACCAGGGAGGTGAGTCACGTGTGTGTGGGTATTCATGTGTGTACATGTGTGGTACCCAGGCTGGGGCCCCACACACTCCAGTGGGGTGGGAGCTCCTGGAGAAAAAACCCACTCCTTGAAATTCTGAGAATCACAGGACCTCCTTCCCCTGTCCCAACTCTACCCCAGAGGCCAGGCTCCCTGCTGGGCCCCAGGATGCTACCTGCTAACCAAAAGGAGTCTCAGGCCAGTCTGGCAAGTCCAGGTCCAGGTCAGCGCCCACTGCCCCAGTTCCAGATGGAAGGGTACCCCCGCCGGGTACATGCCCAGGGCTGGTAGTTCCCTCTTGGGTGAAGGTAGGTGTAGACAGGCCCTGGGCAGGTTCTCTCTGAGAACTGAGGCAACAGGCAGACGTGGGGGAGAGACGTGAGCACAGGAGCAGGGAGGTGTGGGCAGGGCTCTGGTAGGACGTCCCTGGAACAGCCAGCCCTGGTGTCTGGGACTGACAGGCACAGCCTGAGGGCTGGAAGTTGAGAGAAGGTCACCCTTGCCACCTGGCACCCAGGGCACCAGGTTGACCGAGACAGCTGGAGCCCTGAGTCCTGGGGGTCCAGGCTCTTTTGTGCCACAGCAGCCTGCAGCCACCTGAGAAGAGCAGGTGACAGGGAGGCCAGTGGAGTCCCGGCCCTGACTGCGGCTGGCCTGCTGCACCACTGGCATGCTGCGATTAGGATTGCCAGTGGAAACTGAGGCTCAGGTTGGCACAGGGTTGGCCCATGGTCACAGACATTGTGCATGCCAGAGCCAGGGCACTAGCCCAGTGTGTCTCAGCCAGGGCCCTGTTCCTCCTGGCTTTGGAGGCTGCTCCCTGTCCCAGGTGAGGAGCAAGCATCTTGGCCACCAGGAGGTGGTGCTGCATGCTCTCACAGTGTGCAGCATGTGGATTGGGAAACCGGGAAATCCCAAAACCCAAGCTGGAAGGAGGCCCAGAGGGAGGGAAGAGGAGGCTCAGGCTCCCAGGATGGTGGGTGGCCAGGCTGGATGTGTCATCCAGGCCTCCCATGACCTGCGGGGTAGTGCTGGGGAGAAAGAGGGCACCCCCTAGCTCAGCCCCTGCCCCTTCCCCTCGGCCCCCCACCCCCCATGTGTGTTACTTGGCCCACAGGGAGCCCTGTCCCAGTCACCCTGCCCCACACCCCAGGTGGTGAGTGTTAGTTGAGTCAGGGCCATTGTGCCAGCTGAGACACAATGCTCAGTGACACATGCTGCCTGCCACTTCACTGGGCACCCAGCAGGTGAAGGTTCCAGGGGAGACCAGATGACCCAGCAGGGCTCGCCTGAGGGAACCAGGGTGCTAGGCATGCACCATGCCATCCAATTCCCTCTGCGGTTCCCAAGGCAGGTGGTGCTGCTCAGCCTGGGACGCTGAATTATTGGGCCCAGAGGAGGCAGCTCTCACACAGCTGGAAGCGGCTTTGGAGCCTTGGAGGGTTACTTGGGTTCAGTAGGCTGGGGGTTGGGAAGGGGACAAGGTAGAGCAAGACCTTGTCCTCTGTCTGGGAAGGGGGTACTAGCATGGTGGCTGGCCTGAACCCCGGCAGTGGCATGTGGGGCCAGCAGACAGGCTAGGAGCCATGGGCATCAGGGTTGAAAGGCAGGCAGCCATGCCAGGGCCAAGGCAAAGGGACAAGGGTATGGAGGTTTGGGACTGGCCAGGCAGCCTCCCAGCCTCCCATAGCTCCCTGGGCACCTGGTCTTGCAGGAGCTGCCAGGAGTCACTCTCCTGGTCACAATAAACAATGATCAGAGGCCCGGCTGTGGATCTGGGCAGGCAAGTCTATCCTGAAATGGGCTTGGTCAGGAAAATCAGGCCCAGCCAGTCTTGCCGCCTCTCTTGAGTGGGCGTGGGCCGTGACACCAGTGGGGGCGAGGCCTCATTCAGCCAGAGCACCCCACAGGCAGGCAGCCAAGCAGTCGGCCTCCTACCTGTCCCCTGGGGACCCGGGCCCTGAAACCCTTGATTCCCGGCCCCAGAGCCCTCTGTCCATTGTGCTGGAGCTTGACATGGTATGGCTCCCTCCTGTCCCAATAGCCCACTGTGAGTCTGGGACTGACAGATCCATCCTCTGGATGGGGACCACGTGCCCACTGCACAGTGTGAACCACTAGGTACCCAGCCAGACCCGCGTGCTCCTTTCTCCTCCAGTGGCTACTGGCAAAGTCTTGGAACAAGCCAATCGCCCAGCAATTTGTCAGGCACGTGGAGGCCCAGGGTGGGGAGGGGGAGGTATGGGGTCAATGGCCTGAGTTCCAGCCAGGCCCACCAAAAAGATGCCGTAGGTCTTGGGACCAGGGCCCTCCTGGGGGAGGCGAAGAACTGGACACTCCCTGGGACCCTTTCCCACTCCGGATGTCCTTCAGTGTGCCCAGAATCGGGCCAGGCCTGGGAGCCTGAGGAAGGTGGACAATACAATCCAGGCCTTAGCCTCAGAGCCTGCCCACAGACACTCAGCAGGGGGCAGAAGCTGCTCAAAGATGGGTGAGGGCGGGACCCATCCCAGGGGACTTGGGGGTGGGAGGGACTTCCTGGGAAGGTGGGTCACTGGACAGGTGAGGGAGGGAAGCCAGTAATTGTTCAGCACCTGCTATATGCATGTGTTTCGTATCTCACTGTGTCCTCTCAGGAGCCCTGCGAGGCAAGCATTACTGCTCCCATTTTGCAGTGGGGACACTGGGGCTCAGGGACACAAACCAGGGAATGGCAGAACTAGGATTTGCACCCAGGACTCCAAAGTGTTTGTCTTGCTAGGTAATCAGGAACCTGTTGGACAAGGGTCTGGTGGGAAGCCTGGAAGTAGCTGGGCCCTGCCTGGATGTGTGGATGGGGACAGCCTGTGGCTCACTCGGTAGAGTGCGGTGCTGATAGCACCAAGGCCGCGGGTTCGGATCCTATATAGGGATGGCCGGTTGGCTCACTGGCTGAGCGTGGTGCTGACAGCACCAAGCCAAGGGTTGAGATCCCCTTACCGGTCATCTTTTAAAAAAAAATAATAATAATAAAGAGGGTGATGGGACAGAGGGTGTGTTCATTCCTAAGGCACCAAGCCAAGGGTTGAGATCCCCTTACCGGTCATCTTTTAAAAAAAAAAAAAAATAATAAAGAGGGTGATGGGACAGAGGGTGTGTTCATTCCTAAGGTGACATCTGAGACTGAGGGATGAGTTACCTGGGGGAAAAGTTGGTGCCAAAGGTCCAGGCAGGGGAGCAGGCAGTGCTTAGAGGAGGGCCTGGGCCTGGGGTGCAGGAGCGTGTGGGTCCAGAGCCAACACAGCCGGAGGTCAGGTGCAGGCAGGGCCTGAGAGTCAGGGCATGACTCCCGAGGCTGCTCAGGCCCAGGGGCCTCCCTGGTAGGATAATGTGGGTGGAGGGGTGTTCCTGGGGGTGATGGGCCTCAGCCCTGGGGGTGTAGAATACCTTGACGAGCCCCATGAAGCCTGGTCCTGATCTTTAAAGGAGAAACAATAGTTCCAGTAATTCTGGCCTTGACCTCTGTTTGCCCATGGCTGCTGGGAGGATCGGGTGGCACAAAGGACGGGAAGCATGTGGCCCCTTACAGGCACAGAGCAGGCATTTCGTAACGGCGCCTATGGCAGCACGAACCCTTGTGTAACCAGAACAGGGCTGAGAGATGGGCTGGGGGTCCCCTAACTCCCCCTCCCAGAGCCAGGGTCGGTCGAGCCCCTCTTCAGGGGCCTCTGGTATTGGGGTTACCATGGGCAGGGTGAGTCAGGCCCCTCCAGCCCCACTGCCAGACCCCAACTAGGCCCAATCTGTCACTTTCTCCCTGCCCCCCTCAAAAAAAGAAACATTTCCAACACACCTCTTGGGGCCCGGTGTATTTTTAAAATTCAATTGAAATTTACATAACATTAATTTACCCATTTTTAAGTGAACACTTTAGTGGCAGTAAGTAATCCACAATGCTGTGCAGCCACCACCTATATCTAGTTCCACAACTTTTTCGTCATCCCCAAAAGAAACCCTGTACCCGTTAACTCCCATTCTCTCCTCTCCAGCCTGGCATGGCCCACCTTGGCCCACCACAGCCCCCTCCCACCTGTCCCTGCAGGCAGCAGCTTCCTGGCCATCTGGAGCAGGCAGATAATGGCACCTGGCGGCCAGCAGGTTCCTGGGAGCCAGCTGCCGCTGAGCAAACAACCGGGAGGGATAGAGTGTCGACAGGGGAGGGGACAGGCCTCTGCTCCGCCCCCCTCACCTTCCCCACTCCTTGGCCTCTCCCTGCAGCCTGGAGCTCAGGTGGGCCACTGGGCAGGTGAGGTGGTGGCTGCTTGGGCCTGGTACAGCCCTCCAGATAGTGGTCTTGCCCCATCCCCAGTGGGGTCGCCAGAGGGGGCCACGTGGCCACATGAATGACCAGCCAGGCTCCCCCGGAGGCAGGGCCTCCCAGGGCTGGGCTGAGGAGCTTCCTGCCCGCAGAGGTAAGTACTGGGCCCTGTGACTGTGGCCAGAGGGAGGCGAGGAGGCAGACAGGGAGATGGGAAAAGGGATGTACAGAGTACTCCAGCAGTTTGGCATGAGACTGAAGAGCAGACATCTGGGGTTAAAGAACAGGCACGGAGTGGTCAAGGGACCCGTGGTAAAGCTGGACACCCAGACGGGGTCAAGCAGATCCCAGGGAACCAGTGAGTACTGGGCAGGGGCCATCACGGTGGGCGGGCTGCACTCCCTTGCCCCCCAATCTGCTGCTGCAGCCAGTGTCTGTCTGGGCCTTCCCCCCAGACCCCCTGGGCAGGCAGGACAAGAAGGGCTCCCCCAACTCTCTCAGACCTGGCTGGAAGATAATCTTGGGCCCTTACAAAGCAGGCTTCCCGCAAGCTCATGGCATCAGAGGTGGAAGTTTGTTTTACAGAGGAGAAACTGAGGTGGGGACCTCCCCAGGCCATAGGTAGCAGATATCTGAGCCCAGGAGGCTAAGCCCCAGGCAGGGAGGGAGCCGGGCCTTGGGGCTGGTCCTGAGCATTGAGGGCACTGAGGGCTGCTCAGGGTCAGGCAGTGGGTGTGATGGTCAGACCAAAATTCCCACGAGGGGAGTGGTGACCATAGGCAGGCCCTCATCCCAGGATGCCCCTATGCCCAGGGCAGGCCCAGGAGTCCCAGGGAAGGTCTACCAGGGACGATGGCCAGGCAGAGATTTGCCTCCCAGCCATGCCAGGTCGGAAGCTCTGTGGTGGGCATGGCATGGCAGAGCCCACTCCCGGGCGTCCCTGGCTCAGCCTCAGCCCCGGTCCTCACTCCATCTCCCTCCCCTCGCTGGGCTGGTTCCTGCTGCCTGAGCCTGCACCTTTGCCCTGCACTCCTCCCATCCGCAGATGAATAATGCCTCAGGGCTCCTGGGAACAGCCGGCATCCCCCTGTTAGTGACCTGGCCACAGTCCAGCCCCTCGCCAGCCATGACCATGGTGCCCACCGGGCCACAGATGGACCGTGTGGGGAACGACTCCCAGGGTGCCCCCCGGCTCTTCCTCACCACTACGCTGGCCCAAGGCATCTCAGGCGTCTTCGTGTGGACAGCCCTGGTACTCACCTGTCACCAGGTAAGCCCCCACCTCTGAGCTTCCCTGGGGACCCCAATCTCCATGGGATGTAGCCCCAGTTCAGCCTGGCCCCACTAGGTGCTGCTGGGATCTGGGACCTCCAGTGATGGTCCTCGGTACAGACACCAGAGGACCGGCTGGAGTGGAGGAATGTGCCCAGGGGCCCTTAAGGCAGTCTTAGGCCAGGGCACAGGGGGAAAGGACAGGGACTTTCTCCAGGACGTGGCATGTGGGAGCCACACCCGAAGACAGGGAGGTGTCTGCCAGGCAGAGGGCAGAGCGCTGGCCGGGTGCCACCCGGGCTATTTCATCAGCCCCTCACCCTGCTTATCAAGGTCAGAGATATGATCCCGTTTCACAGAAACGAGGACTGAGGCTCGGAGAGACCAAGTCTTTCCCAGGCTCACGTAGCTGGAGGGGGAGGGGGAGAAGGGCCTCTTCCCTCCAGAGGCACAATATCCTGGAGAAAGCTGGCGAGGGCTTGGACTTTGCTCTGTAGGGAGCTGTGAGCTGAGCCGGAAGCAAGGAGCAGGGAGCTGGGGGAGCAGGGAGCTGGGGGAGCAGGGAGCTGGGGCGAGCAGGGAGCTGGGGCGAGCAGGGAGCTGGGGCGAGCATGGGGAGGTGGGAGCAGGGAGCAGGGCCGGAGCTTGGCTACAGGAGACAGGACTTTAGGAGGGACGGCTCATGTGGGAAGCAGAGGAGAGAAGCAACATTCCCAAGCCCTGAGCCACACATAGCCCCCCACTCAGAGCCGTCACCAAGTGGGGAGATAGGACAGCCCCCAGATGGAGAAGCAGCCAGGCCCAGCAGCAAGGAAGGGTCAGGGAGTGGGCAAGCAGGGGGTGGTGCCCGAGGGTGGGTGCAGCAGGGTTGGGGACAGGACGGGCCTGAGAACTCAGATACGCAGAGAGGCAGAAACACATCCCTGGCCAGGAGAACAGTGTGAGCAAACATGGGAGGAAGGAGCTCGTGCGCTGGCCTGCTGGGGCGTTTGCCAAGGACCCTTGAATGCCAGTATAAGGAGTTTGACCTTTAGCCTGGGTGGGGGAGGGGATGCTGGGGAGCCAAAGACAGCTGTTGAGGGCGTGAGCTGAGAACTGAGCTGCCCATTAGGATGGTTCATCTGACACTGATGCAGGAAGTGGATTGGCAGGTGAGCCCAGGGTCAGGGGGCAGGCAGGAGACCGGTAGGCAGGATCTTAGTGACAGCCACTTGCTGGGTGATGCACATCCAGGTGTGGCCTCAACCAGAATATGAGGTGACACCATACATGTGAGGGAAGGCCAGACAGAGTACAGAGCCTCGAGGCAGTACAGAAATGGGCCCTTCCTGTTGGGGCAATCAGGGAGGACTTCCTGGAGGAGGCAGTATTTGAGCGGTAATCCTGGGGAACAGCTACGTATGTGTGGCTGTAGCCTGGCTTCCAGGGTCCACACAGTCAGGACAAGGCTCATGGAACCCCTTGCACTGCAGCCTCAGGCCCTATTCCCCATCTTCCACCCCCAAGCTCACTACCAGGCCCACCCTTTTGTGAACAGTCCCAGACTCTCCGCTCATTTAGAGTCCTACTGGACAGAGAGGTGCTTGAGCCCATGGCTTTACAGATGGGGAAACCAAGGCCAGAGAAGACAGCAGCTTGCCAAGATCACCCAGCCAGGCAGTGCCAGTGCCGGGAAAGGTCTCCCAATGGCTGACCATGCCGTACCCTCCCACTGTGCCAGCTGGGGAAGTGTGTGACTGATAAAGAGTCCGTCCTTGACGCCAACCTGCCTGCCCTCTCCCACCCCCTGTTTCCTGCTCTAAGAAGCTGGGTGGCACGAGTCCTCGGCACACACCACTGCCTCTGCATCATGTCCTGTGCCTACCTCCACTCATGGCACCTCCTCCAGGAATCCTTCCCCACAGCACCCCTCGTACATGGCCCACAGCCAGCTACCTGTGCACCCAGCTCCCCAGCTCCTCTTCCTCATAAAGACCCAGTTGTTGTTTTGCCATGTCCTTGTAGAAAACATAGACAATCTAGAAAGGTTTAAAGACAAAAATTACAATCACCCATAATTTCTTACTCCCCAGGGATAAGATAGTGGTGTATTTCCTTTCATTTTTTACCAGGCATTTTAAACATATTTGAGATCCTACTTCCTTCTTGGTTTGCCATCCTTATTTTTTTTTTTTTTTTTTTTTTTGGCAGTTGGCTGGTACAGGGATCTGAACCATTGACCTCGGTACTATAATACCACACTCTAACCAAATGAGCTAACCGGCCAGCCCTCATCCTGATTTTTAGATGTCACATTCTGTCAGAGCATTTTCCCATATGGGTATATATGTGAGCATCTTTTTAATTTTTTTTTTTTTTTTTTTTTTTTTGGCAGTTGGCTGGTACAGGGATCTGAACCATTGACCTCGGTACTATAATACCACACTCTAACCAAATGAGCTAACCGGCCAGCCCTCATCCTGATTTTTAGATGTCACATTCTGTCAGAGCATTTTCCCATATGGGTATATATGTGAGCATCTTTTTAATGATGTTTAATATTTAACAACCCTTTGTACGGTTGCACTAGCCCTGCCCCACCACCACGTACGGGGTCCCGTCCTTGTACACAAATCTTTTTCTATATTTCTGAATAGATTTGTTCCTAGGGACAAATTCCTAATAAGGGTCAAAGGGAGCGCATGTCCGTCCCCATGTTGACAGCAAACTGCTTTCCAGGTTGCCTGTGCCCCATTAGGGTCATGATATGTCCCTCTCTCTTCCCCCAGGGTCTGACACTGAGCAGGTCTCAAGAAATTCTTGCTTAATAAATGAATGAATGAATGAATGAATGAATGAGTGTCCCCCCTGCCAGAGTATGCTAAGAACAGGCATCCATCCACGCCCAAGGAAGTTATTTACTGAAAAACAAGAGATCTATTGTACAACATGGTGACTGCTATAAATAACAATGTACGTATACTTGAAAATTGCTAAGAGAATAGATTTTAAGTGTCCTCACCACAAAAAAAATAATTATGAGAGATAATGGATAATGACTTGATTTACCATTCCACAATGAATCATATTGCACACCATAAATGTGTACAATTTTTATTTGTCAATTAAAAAATAAATTTAAAAAACATAGATCTAATTCTACTGTAATCAGAAATATCTGTTTAATACATAGTTATATATATGAAGTATATATAAAATATATTATCTGATTACAATTTAAAAATATTTATTTTCTCTAATTATAATAAGCATGCTCATTGCAGAAAACTAGAAAATATAGGAAAATATAAGGTCACAGGTGGCCTGCCAATAGGAGAACTCTGCACACCCCCCCACCCTCCACTGCCTTGTCTGAGCTGGCACAAGGCAGCGGGGTGGCAGGTGGCCTGCCAGCCGCACCCTAACACTCACCACCCCTGCCCAGATATACCTGCACCTGCGCTCCTACACCGTGCCGCACGAGCAGCGCTATATCATCCGGCTGCTTCTCATCGTGCCCATCTATGCCTTCGACTCCTGGCTCAGCCTCCTCCTCCTGGGAGACCACCAGTACTACGTCTACTTTGACTCCGTGCGGGACTGCTACGAAGGTGAGTGACGCTGCTCTGGGCCACCCAGCGTTGTCTGAGAGGGAAACAGAGAGAGAAAGAGAAGCCCAAAGCTGGGTTAGGTGGGGGCAGCCAAGTGAGGGGACTCCCGGGGCCTGCACACATACACACACTTCCATGGCCAGCCCTCCATGGAGGACCCATTCCTTTGGGCTGTGACCAGGTGAATGGAGACTGGGGGAAGGGGCAGTTTTCTGACAGGGCAGTCAGGGTCGAGAAAGGGGGACAGTATCCTGAGATGAGGAGGGGCAGGAGGGCTCTGTGGGGAGAACAGCCACACATCCTTGCCATACCCCTGCATGGGACTCAGTGAGGCTCCCCTCTGCTGTCTGCAGCCCTGGAGGGAGGGTCCCGGGCGACAGCATTGCCCAGGCTCAGGGAGAAGGGCCGAGCCAAAGGGAGGGCAGAAGGGGGTACAGGACCTGTCCTGACCACAACCCCTCTTCTGGCTCAGCATCCACAGTGGCTACCTCTATGTGACCCTGGTCTACAACGCCTCCGTCAGCCTGGCCCTCTACGCCCTGTTCCTTTTCTACTTCGCCACCAGGGAGCTCCTACGGCCCTTCGAGCCCATCCTCAAGTTTCTCACCATCAAGGCGGTCATCTTTCTGTCCTTTTGGCAGGGTATGTGGGGTTGCTGAGGCAGGGGCTGGAGTCCAGAGAACCTGAGTTCAAATCACACCTCCACCACTCAAGTTTCTCACCATCAAGGCGGTCATCTTTCTGTCCTTTTGGCAGGGTATGTGGGGTTGGGTGGGGTGGGTGGGGTTGCTGAGGCAGGGGCTGGAGTCCAGAGAACCTGAGTTCAAATCACACCTCCACCGCCAGTCCCCATGTGTCCTCAGTTTCCCCAGCTGTAGCAGAGGTCAGTATCAGCTTGAAGCCTGTAAAGCCCCTGGGTACAGGGAAAGTGGGGAGGTCCGCTCATCAGATCTGGCCCCTTAGTCAGGGGAGATAGGCTGTGCAGAGGGAGCAGGTAGAGGCCACACCAATGTTTCCTAAGTCCTCTTCCCAGCCAGGCCGTGGGCACTCGCAGCCCCCATTTGCAGAGGACAACAACTGCCAGACGGTGAGAGCTGGGGGTTGGACCCAGGTCTGGGGCTGGACATAGCAGGGTGGGCCCTCAGGGAGCTTCTGGGCATCCCCTATGCCAAGACCCCTGACTTTGGAGATGCCCAGCCCCTGTGAACCTCAGGCTCTCTGTCCTTGGAATGAGACTGCATGGACAGGATATCACAGGGCAGGTCACACTGGAGATGCTGTGGGGGCCTGAAACTTTTCCTACCCTGCAGACCCCCGCCAATCCCCCAGGCCAGCGTCAGTGAGGACCTTGGCTGGGGTCAGCTCCATCCAGCCTCCCATCCAAGGCTGGGGGCCTGAGTGGCTCTTGCCATCCCCAGGGATGCTGCTGGCCATCCTGGAGAGGTGTGGGGTCATCCCCGAGGTCCAGACCATCGACGGGAGCAGGGTGGGGGCCGGCACACTGGCTGCAGGCTACCAGAACTTCATCATCTGCATCGAGATGCTGTTCGCTTCCATCGCCCTGCGGTACGCCTTCACCTGCCAGGTGTACTCAGAGAAGAAGGAAAACTCGCCAGGTATGCTGCGACGTGCCAGGCATCCATCCACACACGAGGCCCAGGGATGTCAACTCGCTGGACAGGCCCTTCATCGGCATCGGGTCTAGGCAGCCAGGCAGGCAGATGCTTGCAGCTCTGAGTGAGACAAGGCTGGACTGGGACAGAGGCCAGAGGATCCCTCCAGTGATAGGGCATTGGTGCCCCCAGCCGGGTGTGCCCTGTTTCCACACCCAGACGCTGAGACCAGCCTGACAGGAGGGGCTGAGAATGGCTGGGGCTGGCATCCCTAGTGAATGGACCATTTGGGCAGGGATGGCCTATGGCTGCCCTGATGCTGCCTGGCCCCATCTGGTCAGTGTGGAGGGTATGAAGGGCTCACCCCAGGCCAGCCCAAGGCATCCCCCCCTGAGAGCCCCTCAGAAACTCAAGGGGGACATGGCCCCTGGCAGGGGTCTGGGCAGGGACAGGCCCCAATGTTGGGGTAAGATGGAGGAGCTGGGCTGGGGTTTAGGGGTCTTGGGGGTCCTGGACATGCAGGAGCCACAGCCCTGGGCAGCCCAAGGCCGGTGGGGAGCAGACACATCAGGGTAGACCAGGGAGGTGGGGCTGAGAGGCTGTGTCCCTGGGCTGGGTTATAATGGGAGGATGATGGGGTCCAGGAAGCCCCCCAGCCCCAGCCCATGTGCTCTCTACCTCCCAGCCCCCACAGCAACCATGCAGAGCATCTCCAGCGGCCTCAAGGAGACCATGAGTCCCCAAGACATCGTGCAGGACGCCATCCACAACTTCTCCCCTGCCTACCAGCACTACACGCAGCAGGCCACGCATGAGGCCCCAAGGCCCGGCCAGGGTGTGCACCCCTCACCCAGCCCCCACCCCGGCACAGCCGGTGGCTCTGGTGGGGGCAGGAAGAGCCGGAACATAGAGAAGAGGATGCTGATCCCTTCGGAGGACCTATAGGAGGGCCTCGAGGTTGCCACCACCTGGCTGGGGACCCAGGTTGCCCAGGTCTCTGGAAAGAAACAGGGCTCCCCACCCACCAACCCTCTTGCCAAAGGTCAGGCCTCTCCCGAGAGCCACCTATGAGGCCCATGGAGTGCAGGTTCCATCCTACCTCCAGCCTGTGGATCAGGGCACTCTCAGCCCTGCCAGGGGCCCAGGGCCAGAGCCCCAGGAGAAGGCACCTGAGGAAATTGGACAAGGCTGGGAATTCACTGGGCTCACCTGGCTCTCAGCTCCAGGTGGCTGCTGAGGTCTTGGCTGCATGGGCCCAGGGGAGTTGGCTCTTCCTTCCACAGACAGACTGAAGGGCAGATCCCAGGCTGAGCAGCTGAGGGAGGGATGGCTGGGGGAGCGGGGCAGCCCAGCACTGAGGCGGCACAGGAGCTGCGTGCGGGAGCCACACAGGCTGGCCGGGGCAGGAAGACGACTCTCAGCTGAGCCTGGCTGTGGCCGTCTTGGGCACATGGGAGAAGGGCCCTGCTCCACCCACACTCCAGCCACAGGGGAGCCCTGGCGAGGCCCCCCGCACAGGGGAAGGTGTGCCTGGTGTGGTCCGGGACATGCCAGGGGCCTATTGGCACAGAACCTCCAGTGTTATGTGGAAGGCTTGTGAGCCATGTGCTGCTTCCCAGGTTCCACCCACACTCCAGCCACAGGGGAGCCCTGGCGAGGCCCCCTGCACAGGGGAAGGTGTGCCTGGTGTGGTCCGGGACATGCCAGGGGCCTACTGGCACAGAACCTCCAGTGTTATGTGGAAGGCTTGTGAGCCATGTGCTGCTTCCCAGGTATTCACTCTTATTTATATATAAACCCCTTGGATTTTCTAATGGCTCGACTGGCTTCTGTTCCTGCAGGACCAGTATCCTGAGTGATGGGCCACAGTGGGGTGGTCAAATGAGGCCCATTGTTCTAAATCTGAGTGTTGGGGGAAGGGTCCCTGCCTGGGCAGCCAGCCACAGCGTTGCTCAGAGCAGTGCAGGGCAAAGAGCACGGACTTTGAGATCAGATGCCTGACCCTGTGCCACCTGTGAGAGCCAGAGCAGTCACCGCCCACCTCGGAGCCTCAGCTTCCTCAGTAAAATGGGCCTCATGCCAGCCCCACCCCCCTGCAGTGGGTGGATGAGGCCACGGGACACAGGGAGCTCCTACCTGGGAGCTTGCTTCTCTCTTCCTTCTCTTCTTCCTCCATGTGCCAGGCGGGGCCCAAAGTTCCAGAAGAGCTGAGCCTGAGACACAGCCCCTGCCCTCAGCAAGGTGGAGGGGCCGATACCCTTGGAAGCACAGGAGAGGACAAAGCAGCCCGGGGGACTGAGGGAGGCCTCCTGGAGGACTTGTAGTTGGGCCTTGGGATGAGGCGGTGTCACCACATTGGAGCATGACAGGTAGAGGTGATGCAGGGTTTGCAGCCTGGTGTGCAAGTCTGGGTTAGTTCTGTGTGTCTGGGGCCCACAGCACAGGGGCATGGGGTTGGGGGCAGGTGCAGGAGAGGTGGGCTGGGCCTGGGGAGCTCAGGGACTGTCTGTGGGGAGCCAGGGCCCAGCTGGCCAGGCAGGCACAGCAGACAGGAAGGCCCAGCGAGCACTACCCAGGGATGGCGGCTCCCTCCCCTATAGCCTGGCTGCTGCTCCCACAGTCACCAAGGAAAGAGGGAAACGTGCCCAGGATCTTGGAGAGACTCAACAAGGCAGGAACTGACCAGCGGTGTCTGGCCCAGGGTTGGGGCCACTCCCCTGCCCTCTTGCTCCCTGTGCCTGGGGACATGGAGGACCCAAGGCCAGCAGCCTCTCCAGGGCCCAGTCCAGCTGCCTGATAAGATAGGCTGAGCTCCTCCCTGCACTCAGCTGCAAAGACCCCCACCTGCCCTATACTGCCCTCTGCAGCTGGCAGCCTCATGGGCAGCTCCCGTGGTCAGGCCCCCATGCCTCACTCAGCAGGTTTGAGAGGGGGCACGGCATTCTCCAGGGAACTGCTGACCGGGAGGGAGGTTTTCTGGAGGCTGTGGAGGAGAAGCGGGTGCCAGGTTCTGCTGAGCTCACGCGAGGCTTCTCTGGTGTCCTTGCCAGACCCTGGGGTGCCAGCCCTTGCCCTGGAGGCAGTCATCCCTTTGGGATCTGAGTTGCCCAAAGCTGTGTGCACGGAGGGCAAGTGGGAGAGGGCCCCTTCTGGAAACCCAAACACTGTGTGGGCTGCAGGCTGCAGGGCCATGGCAGCACAGGACAGGCTGAGCAGCACCCCAGGCCTGAGCTTTGGGGAGGCAGAAGTTGGCATTGACCTAGCACCCATTCGCATGTGCCAGGGACAGTGCCAGGAACCCAACATACACTTACTTCTCATGAAGCCCCAGGAAAGGTGACTGAGGCCAGAGAGGAGGAGCAAGTTGCCTGAGGTCACAGGTGGCCAGAGCCAGCTTGAACACAGGTGGGCTGACTCCACAAAGGCCACTCTCTCCACCTGGCCACTTGCTCCTCCACAGACACCACCCTGAGCATCAGGCCTTTCCTCCTACAAGATAAAGCCATAAGGGCTGAACATGGTGCCTGTGGCTCCTGCCCCATGGAACACAGCCACAGAGTAGATCAGGAGCTGTCCAGGCTGCATTTGTCTTGCCTTCCTAAGGGGGTATGTGAGTACACGCGATGGAGGAGGGGACAGAGGAGACAGAGTTGTTAAGTCTCTTCATCTCTGACGAAGAACAAGGGCTCCCCAATTAAAGGTCCCACCCCGCAGGGTCAGAGGAGTGGGCCGCAAGGCAGGCAGGAGCTAGCTTGTCTTGGCCTGGTACTCCTGCCATTATCTAACTCGTCTTGGCCTCAGTGTTCCCATCTGTGAAATGGCCCACTTGAAAATCCCCAGCAATTCACACGAAAGGGTGGAAGCTCTGAGGGGTCCCGGCTGGGCGGCCTGGACAGATCAGGGTCTGCTTTAACAATTTCCCTGTCTGTCCGTAGCCTCCAGGAGCCCAACACTGGGCTGTTCTGTGCACCCCAGTTCACATGCACCAGCTTGCTGCTGCTCTGGGGCACCCGGCTACTGTAGGAAGAGCAGGCCAGGGGCAAGGGTCCCCGGGGTTGGCTGCAGGGAGGCCTGGTTTAACTGAAGAGAACACCTATTGTTGTCATTGCTGGTGGCACCAGCTTGAGGCTGCTGCAGCCCCAGCACAGACTCAACTCCGATTTACAGAAGGAAACTCGGGGCTTGCAGAGGGAAAGGAACGGGCCCAAGGTCACAAAGTTAAGAGTCAGGATTTCAACCTTAAGTGGTCTGCAAAGTACATTCCTACCTTGGTCAGCTCAGGTCGGAAGGTGGGACAGGAAGGCTGGCAGGTTTTAGAACCCCCCATAAAGCAGATCTCTACACACTTAGGACCAGCCTGTTAGGCCCTGGATCTAGCCAGGCCCTTGGTTTTTCAGAGAGTCTACTTACTTTAGGCCACAGTGCAAGGGTTTTGCTCTCTGCCCCCTAAAAGACCCCTGCCTTTCCCTCAATTTCCTTCAGGCTCGTCTTAGAGCCCAACCCCGACAACACTGGATGTGGGGCCTAACTGGCAATGGGGGTGAATCCTGCTCAGGAGGCCGGGTGGCTTATGACCCCACTGGTCTCTGCTACTCCCAGCTGGAAAGGAGAGGCTGCATTGACTTCCCGGAAGCTTCTGGGGAGGGCAGATAAAGTGAGCCCATGAAGCAGAGGCAGAAATAATAAGTTCACCTTCTGCCATACTGACCACTGCCCCATAGCTGTCACAGGCTGGCAGCCTGGACCCTGACCCTAACTCTCCCAGGTGCAACCTCTGGTGATGGGGGCAGGAGGTACAGCCCAGGGTCCCAGCATACCCTAACAGCCTCCAGGATGGGGGTTCTTGGTCCAAGAAAGCCACCACCCAAAGCACTAACTACACAAGAAGGATCTGAAACCAGAAAATTCTTTATTGCAAAGGTACAAAAGCAGTCACAGCAGCAAGATGTACAGCAATAAATTAGGTGGTGGCCATGAGACGGGAACAGGGTGTGGCGCAAGCTCAGGGCACGTGCCACAGACAAGGGTCCACATGTGATCTCTTCTCAATAATTTATGTCATGATAAAAAGCAGCACAAAAATAAATATTGAAATGAAACTGCCAAGTAGCACAGAGGCCAGGATAAACTGGTGCCGAGACATGGCGAACAGAGGGTCCCTAACGCCTTTGAAAAAGCAGAGATCTGCTTTCTTTGGGAAGTCTGAGGCACAGAGATGCAAAACAAACCCACGAGACAGAAGTCCTTGTCTTTTTTCTTAAATTAAAAAAACAAACAAACATATATTAAATTGTGACAATGAAATTTCAATGATTTGAAAAGAAAAGCAAAACGTGCCTGTCTTCTTTCCCTAGCCTGCTCCTTGTGAGTGGGGCCCAGGCAGAGGCCTCCCCCTGGTGGTGACCGCAGCCCCATCCACCTTGTAGGACAAAGGCAAGGAGCCCCCTCTCCAGCAAAGCACCGCAGGCCAGGAGCAGGCAGCAACCTACAGCGACAGGCAGCCACCTGCCTGCATCCCACAAGATGGGGAGAGCTCCAGGGCTGTACACAACTTGCAACCCACTGTGGCCTGTCCGGGAGGGCCCAGCTGACAAGCAGGACACCTGCTGGGGTGGGGCTGCGTGGCCCCTGGGCCAGGCCTCACTTCCTAGGCCCAGAGTGCCCAGCGCTGTCAGAGGAGGACCAAGCGGAGGCAGCGAGCAGCCAGGCCTCCTTCCCCAGAGTGGCCGACTTGCAGCAGCCAGGAAGCACAGCGACTTGCTCCCACCCACGTGTCCAATGTGGCTCTGCTCAAATAATCATTTACAGTATCAAACTGGAAAAGAAAAATTGTTACGAAAAATCTGTACGATAAAATGTGTATATAATTATATATATATATATTTTCTTTTTCTCTCTCTTTAAATATTTCCCCATGGTCCTTATTGATATCCAATATGGATTACCTACCATGGCTATGGTATCAACAGCTTTTTTTAAAAACACCCAGGCCTTTTGCTCTGTAAGGATCCGCACGCCCCCTGCACTGGCCAGGCCTGCAGCCTGGCCTAACCCTCAGCACTCCTCCGGGGCCTAGAGAATAACCAGCTGCATGGTAGTGCCGCCAGAGAAAACCCAGACGCTTTCTGTTCACTTCTAACGGTAGACACAGAACCAAGTCACAGCCCTTGGGGCTGTCTGTTCCTGCCCTCCTCCAGCTGCAGCCAACACCCTGGGTGGCGGGGGGGGGGGGGGG